TATATATATATATATATATATATATATATATATATATATATATATATATATATATATATATATATATACATATATATATGACCTTAGATTTAATAAATATTAGTCAAAAAACAAAACAAAATAGGAAGGAAAACACTCATTCTGCATTTATACAAACTTAACAGTAAGTTCATATTATTATTGTAGGTGTTGTTAACAATGTTTTAACATGTTTTTAAAAAAAAGAAGTACCCATTAGTTTAGTCCATATACTGAAATAAACATTGGTATCTGACTATTTTTTTATAGTTTCAACTTATTACTTATGTTGACACAATGAAAAAAGAGTCGTGTTTTATCTTGAACAGGATTGGAAGTAAATAGATGAGAGTATTTTGGTAATGAATTAATCGATTGAAAATAATCCCTGTTAGAACGTAGTTATATTTAAAGTTAAAGCAAGTTATAGTGTGTTTTGATCAGCATGTGACTATATATAAACTAGTAATAAGATAATGGACAAGAAATTGAGAGTAAGCATTTAGTCGATATTTTCAATATAACTAAACAGGTACAAAATGTGAGCATTTCAATTTACGTTTCTACACTAAACAGGAGTACATTGTTAAAAAACAAAATTTGTTTCCAGTATGATTTCAATGTGATCAAATCATTCGCGTAACTAACCTCAAATCCTATATTAATATCAAGCGCTCGTTTAATTCGCTGAATAACTGCGGTCTCACATACTTGACCATGTTTGTCAAAAGAAAGCGGTATTTATGCTTTGATTCTAAACACTACAAGTGCTATTTATCATCAATAACTGAATTATCTGTAGCATCGATGGAAACCACAACCACTTGAACCGTCCATTTGGAGTCTCCTCAAGAGTAGGTGCCCAAAACGCTGCACGAGATCAAAATGAAGACAGGCATTGAAATCAGCACAAAAATATTGTGTTGAAGAGCATTGGTACACAATACCCAACTTCAGTCAATATCTGAAAAAGGACAGTCTTCGTTCAGTGCGATTGATAGTATATTAATTTACTCTTAATGCAACTGATTACAAAAGTCCCGACTTCTTACATGAACTTTAGATTTCATTTTGTAACAAATGACAATCGGATTTAGATCTCATTGCTGACATACAATTGCGTCCTTACAAGTATTTACTATAAGTGGTACTGTTTGAAGTCATTTGTTAAGACAGTTCTGAAATAATTTGCTGCAGTACGATTCAAAATAACCAAGACTAAATTTTAGACTCGTTTTCCCATTATTAAAAATACTGGTGAGTAATGCAGGTCATTAGCAATTCATGAAATTGATCGAATTACGTCCTTCAAAAATTTAAGTTATCTCAACCGTCGTCTCTTAGGTAGGAATTTCAGAAAATTGAAAATTGTGGCTTGATAAAAGTATGCCCACATAAACGAGGCATGATAATATCACATAACACTTCGTAACGAAATACCTACTAAATACTGTGTTACGTCAGTTGATTAATCAGGTGACCGAAGTGTCAAAGCAATATAAATATTGGCTAGCAATAACTCAAAATATAAACAATTGTTTATCATAATTATCTCGATTGGTTGTATACTTTCATGTTCAAGAGTAAATATACACAATGAATATTTATTATTCGAATAAAAAGATTGAATATAACATTGCTGTTTTTGTGTTATAGAATCAGGATCTATACTCAGTAACACAACGTTAACTACAACTTCAAAGCGAAATTTCGAAAGACCAGCTCTAAAACAACGTAGAATAGTTACATTGTTGCATATGAATTGTCGAACAAAATGACGAATAAATGTTTGTTTTTCTTATAAAGATATATTTTTGTTTCTCATCAAAACTGGAACTAATCGAGTAAGAAATACAATTTAAGGACAATACTTTTAGTTACTGATATGGGTAAATAGTTTCACAGTGATTAGTCAGTATACAGTTATGTCCTAATGACAACTTTAGAAAGTGTACACAAGGGAAGAATGTTATATTAATAGAATACTTGGAGTCTTCTCATATACGATATACAACAAACTGCTTTTTTCCAAATTGCCTTCTACCACGTACAAGTTTTATGCACTCAACTTTGGGCCTAAATTCACTTACTTGAATGTTAGTGATAATACGTTTCCCGTCACCAAATAATATGTATGACGATTCGAAATTGAGACTCAATTGTTAAGTGAATGCCTAAATTTCCGATATAAATGTCATATTTCAATATACCTAATACTCACTAGCTACGACAAAAGCAACCGCTGGTCACATTACTACTATTTCCTGTGCTTATTTTTACGAAAGGTACGAACTTATGTGACTGTAGGCATTTTATTTTCAAGTTTAATTATGGTAAGTCAACGTTTACAGATCAGCAAGACAGTGAAAAATCTCAGTAACGTCAAGTAAATCAGTGATGACGTTGCTTGACAAATAATATATAGGGAAAATATTTCTGAATGTTTTATTACAATTGTGCAGTTCCTGACAGAAACCAATCATAGTAATTAACAGGCTGAAAAAAAATTTGAATTATTTCTATACCGATACATTATTTCACTGATTTTGCATTTGATATACGATAATTAACATGTTTAGATCAATGAACTAAACCATCTGGTATATCCACAAATATGTGAAAATGTTTGTTACGGACTTATATCTAAATAAAACCGAGGTCAAATTTACTAAAGAACAATAGTTTTCAGAAATAACCGGCAATTGACATTACTTAGGATAACCGAATGCAATATATCCAAACAAAATACAAGTTATTTTGAAATAACGATTGAAACAATCCTCGTTTAAAGTAAAATAATGGGTTTAAACCTACGTTCACAATTTTAAAATAATTTCTACAAAAGTTGCATATTTCAGCAAAATTTTTCTTGCAAAAACTCTGCATAAAAGATACCTATCAAAACATGGAATATTAAGTTCAAATATAAATTGGGCGAAAAAACAAAATGGCCATCAATTAGCAATTTTTATACTTAAGACAACAATCGAACCTCATAATCTGGTCATTAAATTAGTTGGAGTATAAAAATGGCTGGAATTCTGTTGAAGTTACTCAGTTGTAAAAAATCTCACTACTCCATACAATGTATTTTAGAATTCGTGTAAAAATCAATGAAACATATGTGTCATGAAACGAGCAATCTCAAGTAGTTAAAGTAAATCTATAAAGTAAAGGACAGTATCTCATAATTATGTAACGGTTTGTAAGATAACGTATTATGCACAGGTGTTCTTACTAGACCTGTACTTTTGTATTTAGCATGAAATATTTCTCATTAAACACAAATTAGTTAATCAAGATATTCAGTTTTAGGGCGTAATGTCACGGTTTCAAAATAGTTCATCACGAAATCACTGAAACAGCAAATTGTTTTTCCTAGATATAGATACGATTAAAATATTCCAAATCCTATGAATGTTAACTAAACACAGTTATGATATTTACTTTAACTTAATGTTCACAATAAATCTTTATAGAGATTCAGGTTAAATGTAATAAATTAAAGAGTAATATGTAAATAAATTTCGACTAGCGGTTAAATAACACTATGATAATGCTTTGAGTTCGTAAGATTTTTCAGCGATTTACCGTTTAAGGAATCCAATTTTCCAAATTTAACCATATGTAAACAGAATTATGCACAATAAAAATGTATCATGATTCTGATTTAGACAATAATCCCATGAGTTAGGATACAACAGTCGTTGTTTTCGGATTTGCGAATAAAAAAATTAATATACACCTAACTGAATATCTAAAAAGAATATCGTTCACAACAAGTAAAATTTCCATCGTAAAAAATTTAGTCTTCAGACATATTCAATAACCAAACAAAAAATTATATTGTAATTAGACTAAAATAATATTATTCAGAATATAATAATAAACGTCAAAAAAACAAGTTCCGAGTATACTGTTTGTCGACACGATGTTACAAGAAGAGCCATAGACTCGTAAGCACATAACCAAGAACACTAAGCTGAACAATTGAACAAACTTTAGATGGAGATACGAAAGAAATGAGACATTAATGAATTTAGATGAAATCAACAAAAAATATGGGGTGAGTTGGAAGGAAGAACGGAAAACGATTGAATTTCCAAGACTTTAAAATACAAAGAAAACAGGAATAGCATATCATATTCCTGATAAAAAGTAAACAAATTTATATATAGCTCATACACTGTTAAACCACAATAATAATTCATATCTGATAAAGGAGAAAAAGAGTTGAGGACTTTATAAGTGAGAAATTCTCTGGAGTAAAAGACTGATGGTGTTTATATAATTGAATATTCACAGTATGAGAAAGAGGAAATTAAAATTTCATACAGTGTTATTCCGCATACACTTGTGTTAGAATGCTAAAAATTCTATTTTCTGAGATGGAAATTTGTGAAGAGAAGTGTTTATTCTTTTATCATGTTAGAAAATATTCAAGAACTGATATCTCCTTGAGACAGTGGGATTATGTGAATTTTTTGAAGTACCGAACAAATAGTTCAGTAATCAAAACATGTTTGTGGACCATTAATACTACTGATCAGATATTTTATAAAATAATGATTATTATCATTAAAAAGCTATGTAGCAATTCGAATGAAGGCAGGATCACACACACAGAAAAACTGAACAAAAAATAACAGATAAGACTCAATCAAGTGAAGTTATCGACTGGTTAACAATTGGCAAAAAAGATAAATGATAAGCAAGGAAAAAGAAAACTTCAACAATCAGTAAGGAAAATTAATATAAGAGCATAATAAAAAAACAGGGGGAAACACCACTAACATCTGATGACTGTATATCTTTAAGCAATAACAATTATCAAATTATTTCAGTTAGCAGTTATTTTAAATTTAGACAAAGCTGTATTATAGTAATATATATGACCACAGAAACATGAAAGTGAATGCATGAAAATGGAAACGGAAACAAATACAAGCAGGTGTGTAGTAAACATCAATGTAAGTTTATTGCTAGTGTTTCTTCTTTCTGGAAAATGATGGCATTCGGAAGCTTCCTTTCTTTTTGATCTTTTTCTCAAGCGTTTTACTTCCCTAAATATTAATCAAATTATACGGAACAAAATTCATTATTACTAATTAAAGAGGTTAAAACAAAAAATACCACTAAATTATATCGAAATACAATCATTTGTTCACTTCTATGTAAAAGTCTATGCCTAAATAAAACATAATTCCTAAAATTTCTCAAAACTGGAATGATTTTTGTTCAGAAAAAATACCGACGCAATAATTATCCTATCTTTTATCATATTACTGCATTAAACTAGAATATACTAAACTAAACCAATACCACGAGGACGTGAACAGTAACACTAGCTTCACATGCTATAACTACCAATAAAATTACATAACTGCTAATAATAATGGCAACACAACAACAATTCGTGAATATAAATACATGCAAAATATGGAGAATAAAGGTGGAAATAACCTCAACATTATTATTCAAAAGATCACCATCAACCGACTGAAGGGTATTTGAGTTCGATATTACAGCTGGAAAAAAAATAATGAAAAATGCGTCATTGTTATCGGATTAAATAAATATTTCATTCATACGTAAAACTATAGTACCTAAAGTTTAATTGATATTTTAGCTAATTAACACTGCATGTAGCATCCAAGCTAATATCAGTCCAAAGAGTGAGCAAACAAAAAGGATTAGACAAAATATGACCAAGACTAACATCGCGAAAAAGGAGTTCCAATATAAAATCACTGATCTGGAAAAACAAGAAGTAACATAAGCGCCAACAGAACAGCAGCGCAAGGATTATCAAATCATATTTCAAATAAAAACGTTATAATGAATTCACTCTGCTTGGCACGCATCAATGATGACAGTAAAGACGATAAAAACAAGATTCATGAGAAGCTGCAGTCCACCGTAGAGAACTAAACAGGAAAAGCCATGACTACCTTGATGAAGGACCCGAACTCCAAGACAAACATGGACAACATAGGGTATTAAGAAGACTAAATGAATTTAAAAAAAGAACCAAGGATGACCAGAGTCTTATAGATCTTTTTATTTTCAATAACACTATGGTGACGTAGTAGTACTTCCCCTCACAAATACAAACACGAAACTACATGGGAACACACTACAGAAAACCAGACATATCTCATCTACATCAATAAAAAATTCATTAAGTTCATGGAAGTCATAGTAGCAAACAAAGCTCATACAGATTCAGATCGCCAAATGTCAGTCGAAGCATTGAAATCAGATATGGGAGTAACTGCGAAGATGAGTCACGTCCTCTTCGCAAAGATTTAGAATGGAAATCAAGTAGTAAGAGACTGGACAGACAGATACCTCATCAAGATACTGAAGAAATGAGATCGTGATAATTGTGAGAATCGCGAACGGATCACTACTGTCAGTACCAGTTAAGAGTTCAACAGATTTTTGCTGAACAAATGAAAGATTTAGACGTCCAAATTCGAGATTAATAAGCTAGCTTTCGTTTGGATATATCACGTACCGACCAAACTGATATAATTCGCATCACTATTAAACAATCAGTTGAATTCAACTCATAGCTAGTTATCAACTTCCTCGATCATGAGAAATTATTCGACACAGTGAATCGGAAAACCGTATGGAATATTTATCGGCACTGTGGAGTACCTGGGTAGATCACCAGTATCATACGAAACTTTTGTGAGGGACTGAATTGTGAAGTCGTGGATGAAGGGCAGCTCACAGATGCGTTCCAAATGAGAACAGGTATCAGACAAGTTTGTCTACTTTTGTCTTTCCATTTTCTCCTGGTTTTTTGACTGGATAATGAAAGTCTCCACATCTCAGAAGCACGGGTTAGAGTGGACGCCTTGAACGCAACTGGATGATTTGGACTTTTCAGATAACCCAGCCCTTCTATCTCATACATAGTAACAAATGCAGGCGAACACAGACAGTGCAGCGGCAGCCTCTGAAGCAGTAGGCCTCAATATCCACAATGGACAAGTAAGATGCTGAAACACAACACAGAGAGAAACAATTACATCACACTTAATTACAGAGCACTGGGAGAGTTGGAAGCATTAATGTAGCTGGGTAGCATTATTGATAAGCGAGGATGTGAAGCAGACGTGAAGCCATAGTTTCGATGCCATATAAATCATTAATACACGGTACAATGATCAGAAGAATATCAGAATACATATGAGACATTCAAGCTAATAAGGTTATAAGACGACGCAACCACATATTACAGACCACCCATTTAACACTATTCTGGTGTAGCAGTAAAATATCGAATCCCGTATTTCGTTTAATGACAGTTGATTTGTAAACGAAAACAGTTTAACAGCAAAAAAATCAATGTAGAATAACTGTAAACTAATCTCTTCAAGTCTAACAATAATCTAAACTTTAATCTGGAATATTGAAAATAACAAATTTGATAGATGTATTTCGAAAGTGTCATTTCTCTATTCGAAAATTGGAATAAACGGCCTGATACATATACGCACTAAAAGCTCGATATGTGATATAAGTACTGCAAGACTAACCACAGAGAAACAATTGAGACCCAGCTACAAAAATCCATTTAGAGTCCAAGGTGATGATGAATCAAATATCAAAGTTATGAGTCTATAATCAGTATGAAAGGGTGTACAAATGTTATATGACGAAAATGTAACCAGATTAAAACGTCCACGTTTGATAAAAGAAAATAATAAACAGAATCAAAATAATATGAATATTCAAGCTATATGTAAAGTGATGCATAAACGAGAGAAAAAAATAATCGGAATATAATTACTCAACTTACACAAATGCTGTACATTGGCAGGTAGTGTTGCACTCTTATTTACACAGGAATCATTAAATCGTTTGTTCGGTGCTGGAAAAAGTACCAGATAAAAGGATGAAAGTATGAAATAAAATAGATAACAAATGAACGAAAGTAATATTTAGGATGAACAAGCTTCAAAAGACCGCAGGAGTTCCTGTTGAACAAACGATGATCTCATTTAAATAGTTAAAAATGAAGCAATTTTTAAATTAGATGGGGTGGAATTCTACAAACTTTCAATAATCACAAAACGGCGATGAGCAATATGATGGTTCGCTCGTTGAGTTAATAAAATCCATTCAGTAACCGAGTATTGTAACATCAAATCAACAAAACACAAATATAACCAATTTACTAGTCCACCAGACCGTTTGAATATCAAATTTAAGAATACAGCTTCTAAACAAATCAGAATTCACACCATATTAAATCTGAGTAAACGTATAGGCTTATAGGAGATCAAAACGATAAGTCGCGCATACATAAACAATCACTTAAAGTCAAACATAATAAGTGTAAGTGACTAGGACAAACATCGGAAGTATGAATGATGTCAGTCAGACATTGAGACTGAAAGTAAAAGAGTTAGTAATTATTATACGCATACCACGTTTGAGGTTGAGTTACACTTATCACTATAAAAAACAATTGTACGGCTAAACTGACACAGTAAGAAAGATATAGAATAAATAACTTTCTAGATCTACGGAGTGATTGGAAAAGACTATTTAAACGCCAATATAGGCTGCAACAAAGTTTTACATAAAGCTAATCAGAAACAAGCACTTCAATGAGCCGATGTATATGATTAAAAAAACATGTCTTTAGTCGTAAATTCATAAGAACAAGTGAAATAAAAATATAAATTGATTGCGAATAGTAGGAGATCATCATTGCACTGAAACACATGAATCAAATATTGCTACAATCAAGGTAGGAATCATATAAAACATGCTAAATCAAACGTTATGTGATGTGTAATTGAAAGATAATGGAAAAAATTAAAATTTGGTTTAAAAAAAACAAATCAGGCTTACTTAAACTATTGGGTGCCGTGGTGTCTACTGAGATCGAGACTGAACCGTTATGGATTGAATAGTCAGAAACATCATGTGGACTTCGTATAACAGGAGAATAGGAATCCCTTCCTACACGAGATGATGCGCTTCCAGGTTCAGATCGTCTAACAGGTGAACAGACAGGAGAATCCAAAGTAAACGGATCAGAACGATAGTCACCTGAACCTTTAGTTCCGGACAATTTCCGGGGCGAATCGATCATAGAGCTGGTTACTGTATATTATTTAAGCAAATCCACAACACAATACGTGATATATCCATGAACGACAACAGAAGTTATGATTTCGAAAAGAGCATGCAAAGATAGAAGGAATGAAGAGATAACAACGGCTACAAAACAATAATAATAATAATTTCCACTTATAAACAACGTAACGATTCACATGCAAATAAAAGGATTATAAGAAAGACCATATTTAGAATTACGAATTCCTCACATGCAATACGAATCAGGATTGTGAGTCTATATTTTAAATAAAATATCATTACTTACCCATACCGTTTTGTGGTGGTTCATTAGCTTTTGCTAACCACTGATTTCGTTGTGCATTTTTTTGGCGACTGGCACGGACATGATCAACAATTCTAAAAAAGGTAAGGTGCACATATACCACACATATACCAAAACCTATCTGTAAGCAATCTAACAAAACATGTTTGGCAATAAAACAACGAATTTAAACATTTGTTTTACGATTTCCATTTTACTAGCCATGTCTGAAAACATCAACAGTGAATTGTGTAGACGAATTAAGCACAATCTAATTATTATATACAGTTCCAGTGCTCGATTTTAAAATTCGCAACAATAGTTTATGTACTAACAATCTTCAACCAACGAACAATACACTTATAACAACTCTACTAGAGAAGCTAACAAACCTTTTTAACAGAAGTTACCTAGGCATTTTTCCATCGTTCAGCACATTCAGAAAAATGTGTCACATAGTTCGGTTTTATTTTTTGCTTCAAGGTTAGTAAATTCTTTCGGTACCTTAAGTCGTATATATATATATATATATATATATATATATATATATATATATATATATATATATATATATATATATATTATTTATTTATTTCAACACATAGATATTGGTACAAAGAGGCATCAAATACATATGCGCCACACAAATCTCATTTAATTTCTGTGAGGGCTGTGATACTGTCCGGGTGCCCAAACCCAAACAGATGGTTTTTTAGGGGACCACTCCCCGAGCCCTCGACCTGAAGGTCTGATCCACAAGGCAGTGGAGCATCGTAAGGAGATCCAGTCCCATGGTAGCCAGTGACCAACAATTGGTTCGTACGCCATTTGTTCCTGCAAGATACTGGAGCCCATGTGCACCATTGGTTTGGAATTCGGTTAAAGCGCCGGACATTCGCTTTTTGTCCTCTCATTTTCGTAAACAACACCCCCGCCACGAGAAGACAGTGAGTAGGACTTCCCTGGCAGAAGCTATATACGCGTGGCCATGTGAGAGCATTTCGAGAGGGATATATATATATATATATATATTCAGTCTAAAATACGAAATAAAATCAAATGAGTCTTAACATAAAACATCAAAACTAGTTTGTAAATTAGATTGAGCAATCAATCTGTGATTACTAAGGATATCAATAGAAGACAATATTAAACAGATGACTTGGTAACTTTTAACTAATAACGATCTACGCAATTCATTAACGACCAATTTTGAAAATCAGTCATACATTAAGACGTACATATGTAACAAGAATTACCACAAACTAAATAAATTTACCGAGAAAAAAGAAATGGGGACAGTAACATCAACGTGAATACAGGAATAATATTCGAGAAAGACTAACAAAACCAACTCCTACTTATAGCGAATAAGATAATGATATTCATTGGAAACCATTAAGAAAATTGTTTAATGCTGGAAACTAACCTAGACACTTGTTCAGCGCCCGCTGCTTCAGCTGCAGCTAAATCTTCAACTCCACTGAACTCATTAGTGGAAAAGTCCGTTGTCAGTAAATCAGCCCCTGTTATTTGGTCACCATATGTATCTCCTGGCCACGATGAACCAGGATGTGTGCGTCTCAGTAAATTAGGCTGACGATAAACATGACCAGTTCTGAAACCAGCACTATCCAGAACACGCATTTCAGCCTCAAATTCCAATTCTGCTGGTGTCCATGAAATATCTGTGAACAGAACAGAAAATAAATTACATTTACAATATCAATGCCTTTGGAAAGAAATTAGAAATGTTTTCTTAAATTGCAACACAATATCTAGATACCATAACAGCCAACTTTATTATATTGTTATTTTCGAAATTTTAGACCACAATGGCAGGTTATTAGTAAGCAAATTTTATTTAAGTTCGTATTTCGATAATGCTAATTTTCTAAATATTTTCTGATAGAAATCAGATTTTCTTTGTTATTTCGGGCAACACTGATTACTTACTTACTTACTTACGCCTGTTACTCCTCGTGAAGGAGCATAGGCCGTTCACCAGCATTCTCCATCCAACCCTGTCCTGGGCAATCCTTTCTAGCTCCGTCCAGTTGTAATTCATCGTTTTCATATCTGCTTCTATTATCCGACGCAATGTGTTCTTTGGCCTTCCTCTTTTTCGCTTCCCTTCAGGATTCCAAGTTAGGGCTTGCCTCGTGATGCAGTTTGACGATTTGCGTAATGTATGTCCTATCCATTTCCATCATCTTTTCCTAATTTCTTCTTCAGCTGGAAGTTGGTTTGTTCTCTCCCACAGAAGGCTATTGCTGATGGTATCCGGCCAATGGATGTTGAGTATCTTGCGTAGACAGCTATTTATAAATACTTGTACTTTCTTGATGGTGGTTGTTGTAGTTCTCCAAGTTTCAGCTCCATACAGTAGAACTGCCTTGACGTTGGTATTGAAGATTCTCACTTTGATATTGGTTGAAAGTTGTTTTGAGTTCCATATGTTCTTTAACTGTAGGAATGCTGTCCTTGCTTTGCCAATCCTTGCCTTTACGTCTGCATCTGAACCTCCTTGTTCATCGATGATGCTTCCTAGGTATGTGAAGGATTCTACATCTTCCAGAGTTTCGCCATCAAGAGTGATTGGATTGTTGTTTTCCGCTTTGAATTTGAGGACTTTGGTTTTCCCTTTGTGTATGCTGAGGCCTACTGATGCAGAGACTGCTGCTACACTGGCTGTCTTCATCTGCATCTGTTCGTGTGTACGTGATAGGAGGGCTAGGTCATCTGCGAAGTCCAAATCGTCTAATTGATTTCGAGCTGTCCATTGAATTCCGTGTTTTCCTTCAGATGTCGAGGTCCTCATAATCCAGTCGACCACCAGAAGAAAGAGGAAGGGAGACAGTAAACAGCCTTGTCTGACTCCGGTCCTTACTTGGAATGCATCTGTCAGCTGTCCTCCATGCACGACTTTGCACTGTAGTCCGTCGTATGAGTTCCGGATAATGTTGACAATCTTCTCAGGAACTCCGTAGTGTCGAAGAAGTTTCCATAATGTCCTCCTATCTACACTGTCGAATGCTTTTCATAATCAATGAAGTTGATGTATAGTGATGAGTTCCACTCAACTGATTGTTCGACGATGATCCGTAGTGTTGCAATTTGGTCTGTGCATGATCGATCATTACGGAATCCAACACTGATAATGTGTAGCAAAAAGTGGATACTCTCTATTAATACAATAAATCCACATTGTCGATGACAACTTATCTGATACCTAATGCTTGGTACAGTTAGAAATCCATAGACACCACTAAGTTGTAATGTTATTGAGACAGTAGTGGGTGGATTTGCAAGCCACTAAGTAGACAATCTCATGAGGAAAAGACTCGGTTGATTAACAAAGTTAAGAATACTGGCATGCTAATTTTGACACACTCCAAATAGTTAACTTACCTCCATTATCACTACCAGCTTTACCATTCACTGATGTATGACCATTTTTATTTTGGTCTATGACATTTGATCCTATTTCTTCTGACTGGTCAACTTGACCGTCTGTCAGCTGCACAGCACTATCCTTTAAATCAGATAATAAATTTGTCATATTCCCTAGTTGCATCAATCGCATCTGTAAAGTAAAATAAATGAGATGTCAAGTTGATGTTGGAAGAAAGTAAGGGGCGGCCAAATCAAAACGTGGCATCAGTGATTGAAGTCACAAACTTCTAGTCTGAGTCATGTTGGTGGATGCAGACTACTTGGTTGAGGTCCACGTGACTACTGTAACCGATGGTTGGAGACTCTTGGTGACATGGCTCAGAATCGATCACAATGGCGTCGGTGTATACACTCCCTGTCTTCCCTTAAACTAAGAGATTAAAATCACTTTATAACTTTCTTTCTACTAACTAATTTTTTCTTCCTATACTATATCCTTATTGCAATCTTTCTCCGATATATTACCACCTTCGACCTAACCACTCCTATGAATCCGGTGTTCATCTTGCTGTGCTAATGAGGTATGGCAACCTGGACCGATGCACATATGTGCCTGGTCCTGCGTTGTAGCTGACTGACTGACGAACGCTTTCATAAATAACCATAATCGTATAAATCAAACTTGGTGGTCAACATTGTTCCATTAGAGCGCCTCCACAAGTTCTATGCACTATTTTGTGTACCTTTTAATGACGAACTTTGCGACAGAACCTCTTGATCAATGGAGTAGTAGAATACCACACCAGGTTCAAGAAATGCAACTTTAGTTGGGAGACGGTAAGTATTCTTATATTCCAAAACCTGACGAGGGTGAATATCTGATTAATGCATTCACATCCAACTCTGAAACCAGCTCGGTTTCCCCAAATCTGTTGTTCATAAACACTAGTTAAGTTTTGAAGAATTATAGAGGTTAATATTCTAGGCATAATGTTGATCAAACTGCTTTCTCTGTGATTATCACAAGGGGATGTTAATCATTTTATATACACTGCGATGAACAGAGATCGAATCTAAACAGATGAGACTGAACCGAGCTCTAAAACTTCAGTCACTATTTGAGTCAACGTAACTGCTAGAACTGGTGCACCGTCTTTAAAGACCTCTGAAGTTATCGTATTTTGCTGATCTCCATCGCTTCAAATTAGACATGGTCCTTTGGATCTTCCGGAAGTTTTTTGGGAATAGTGAGTAACTCTGAGAAGGAAGTTGAACCTTCTGTTAGTGTTCTGCCTATTGTCAAAATCTCCTGGACACAGTGTTTTAGAGTCCCATCTTTTTTCGAAAGTTTAACTAATAGTTAACTTGTTTCCTTGATAAGTCAGAACAGTTATCTCGTATTACGTGTACCTGCTACATTTTCGACTACTTTTACTTTTATCCTCACTGTTGCTTACGATATTGCGTTAATTTTTTATAAACCTATATTTGAGTTGTTGCTATTCATCGTCCTCCAGGCCTATCGTGTTACTCATGACATAGATTCGAATTACTAAAAGCTTGCTAAATTCTGGTTGGATTTTCGAAAAGTGTAGTATTGAATGGTATGATCCACAGACTAAAGACAAATGAGCATTTACTAGATAACTTATTGACGAAAAATCTAGTACAGAATTACGATGCATCAACCTTATTGTGATAAATAATTTCAGAAGTTAGATAGTCTTATATAAAAAACTGACATTGACTTACTTGGGTCTGACAAGCAGCTATTACTCGTTTAACGAGATACCATGCTTCGGGAATACTAGAAGCAGTAACTGCCACACCATGATTTCGTAAAAACAGCACCTTTGCTTTAGAGCCTAGATCTTTCACAATGCTAGAACGTTCTGCCTCATCTACCAGAATACCTCGATACTCATGATAGCGAACTCCATGATTTGACACTAGTTCAATGGCTTCAGGACTGACAGGCATGAGTCCTGCGCGAAGACACGAAACCTGTAGTCGAAAAATTTGCTATCAAAGTTTCATTGATTTACGAAACCATTAAAATAACTAAAACGGGTGCATTGATCAGTTATTCGTGGTAGCGATCCCTTAATTAAGGTAGAAGAGATTTTTAAAAAATTATAACCCTACCAGAAGAATGCATTAACGAATGAGCCCTGACATCTAAATTCGCACTACCTAATTTAATATCATTTTGTTGACCACAGAATGAATATATGAAGCAAATAAAACAATTGATTACATTCGTACTACTTTACTTTCAGAGAAAACTGCGAAATAATTCATATTTTCTTCACTGATTCTATAAATGTCGAAAAATATAAGCGATACTGCGAAGAGTTAATTTATTCTTACGTGTAACGAACAGCAATGTAGCTTATTCATGTAACCGGACTTGCGAGTTTGCTTTGAAAGTAGCTTAAGAAAATTATCCTGTGCTATGTCAAATGAATTTCAACTTTGATTAGATAGTTCGTTCAAGATTTTAATGAAGTATTTTTCGAATGGATATGACTTAGGAACGGATTTGAGACCATTAGCAATAAACTAATTTTCAAGATCATCGATTACGCATTCTTTATCAAGATTATTTTCAGTCCTGATACTCAGTCAATAAAATGCGAATGAGATATACGGATTGATATGTCAGATTATTTGGCGTATCAAAAAACTGGATATAAGATTCGATACACTGCTACTGTTTTGACCGTGGCAGTAATTCTAACCACTCAAATGAAGCTAAAAAAATGAAATTGAACTGGCAAATAAGTACTCTCTTCAATAAGTCAGTCATCAACGTAGGATATGGGAAGAACGTGCATCTGTCCCAGCTTCCACACCTCACATCTGTATAACGAGAAATTAACTAGATGGGAGCTATAAAATAGGAAATAATATAAAAAACAAAAAAGGTGTTTTGGAAGGAAAAAAATCTAACTGGAGAATAAAAAATTAGGAAGACAGACATGTAATCTAAGTCAGATAGTGGACAGATTGTTAAGAACTAGGAGAACGTTTTCTATCCGTGTCAACAGTTTGTCAGATACCACACTATCAGGACTGATGTGGTCTCATCAAATGTGTGATCAATGCACCCCACCACTTTATTTTCAATGAATAAACTAGGCAGTGATCCAGTTCAATCCAGAAGCAGAATTTTAAACCTATAAGAGAAACTTACCGCATACATACTTGAACTGTCACTTACCGTCACTTCAGAAGAATTGATTTTTTCACCGTCCTTATATACTTTATATATAAAAACACTAATTTAAAGTAAATGACCATGATCAGTCAGCAAAAATTAAATAATGGCCAAGGAAATATGTCGAGTTTATATCAATGGATTACTGTGTCACTTTATGAATTAGCTAGTCGACTAAAATTGACCATTTAACATAGGTCGCTAGTATGTGATTATAGATCCCTTAGAAAAATTGTCCGTGTATGCTGAGACCCAAAAGTGAGCATTGCTAAGGTTAGACGCAGAGTATTGGATGGTGGCAAATCGATTAATGAGGTAGCGAATTTTCATCCACTGAGGTAGTCGACGAATATAAATGTGATCAACTGCCGCCTACCTCGGCGAGCGGTGTAGGTTGGAAAAAAGTGGAAGCAGTCAAATCAAAAAATCACATTTCCCGATTGGAGGGAAAGGAGGACAACGAGACAACTAGACTCCTCTACTCTTCTCACTTTCCGTTAACCTTCATCTGTTACAAATAAACAATCACCATTTTTGGTATCACTTCCATTAATTTTTAGCATCGTTAAGCATAACTCACAGTATTATTACAAATCAAGTACTGACCTTGAACATAAGATGCTGTCTGACCCCTAACCCAGTTGACAGTTCAAAAGGTCTATATGATTATCAACTAGTGTCAGCGAGGAGTTGGAAAGGACAGAAAGATGCACAGACCACGTCCGGTATATAAGTATAACGATTGTTGGAGGCAATGTCCGATAAAGGGTAACATTTTAGTATGCCACATAATGAATATGCCTATGGACATGTAATAACTTATAGTGAGCAATCGTACGTATTAGTCCCATCCGATGACCTTTACTTCCATCTGACATTGTCATAGATGTGTTTAGATTGTAGTCAATTACTACTACCGATCACCTTACAGATCCAAAAATGAACTGCAGAGAATTTTCAACCATAAACTCTGACAAAAATGCTAATTCGAAAGAGTATGAAGAAAGATCTTCAAATGTGGGGTTCATTTTTTATCCAATCAATATAAAATGTAGCCTAACAATAGAAAATGAAGAGCTTGAACATGGTGATACATTGTTCAACAAAATATATTCGAGACATGGTGTATACTGAGTCAGTCAGTCAATCAGTCAGCTACAACGTAGGACCAGGCACATATATGCATCGGTCCAAGTTGCCATACCTCATTAGCACAAGATGAACACCGGATTCATAAAAGTAGTTAATTCAGAGGTGATAACATGTAAAAGAAAAATTGTAATAAGGATATAGTACAGGAAGAGAGAATTGGTTGATAGAAAGAAAGATATAAAGTGATTTTAATCTCTTAGTTTAAGGGAAGACAATGAGTGTATACACCTACGCCATTGTGACCGATTCTGAGCCATGTCATCCAGTTTCCAACCACTGGTTACGATAGTCACACGGACCCCAACCGAGTAGTCTGCATCCACCAACATGACTCAGACCCGAAGTTAGTGACTTCAAGGACTGATGCCATGATTTGGTTTGGTCGACCTTACCTTCTTCCAACCGTCTCTAACACTAGTCAGCATTGTACGTCGTGGTAATCGGTGTTCGGGCATATGTAACACGTGGCCCAATCATCTTAGTCGATGAAGATTCACGACCTCATCAACTGATTTATCATCATTCCCTAATACTCTACGCCTAACTTCACTATTACTTACCCGGTGATCACAGCAGACGCCAGCAATATTTCTAAGGCATCTGTGGTCAAATACTAGGAGCTTACAAGTGTCTGAAGCAAAGGAATAAACGAAATTGATTATAAACTTAGCATTAGGTTATGAGAGCAAGTAACACATGAAGTTATGGAATCACACTATCTGTTACTTAATCGAATGTACACGTTACGCTACTACGAGTGGAAGGATGAGCGAGGAGTTAAAAGCTATTAAGTTGTTATAACTTGTAACCACCGATTAGAGGGCAGTGACTTATCGATCGGACCAATGACGCGTAAAACGAGTGCGAGCAGTCTAGAGTCTTGATTGGTCCTGCTTCCCGCCTAGCTCAACCAGTTAAGTCCAGAACACCGATCTGAGCCTCTGCGATATGAATCATATTTCAAACATACTGAGTTTATATACCAATCAAACAGACTACAACGTACCAATAAAATATGAAACAGTTGTACAATAATTAGCCAGATGTGGCTGTGAATGAGGGAGGTAGTAATTAATATAATGGGTATAACTCAAGAATGGTAAGACGTATAATAACAGTTTATGAATTAAAATAAAGCTTACAATAAGAGGAATATTAATATGCATAGTTTAGTTACTTAATAATTATACAATAGAAATACACGTGTAGTATTGGTCCATAAATGAATCCCAAAAGTTACCATTCATTATTCTTGTCGGGCCATAACACAAGTTCATAGATTTTCGGATACCCCTGACTCAAGTTAAAGTGCAAGAAGCTAAAGCTAATTTGAAACGAGAAAGAGCGGGTGGTCCAGATGGATTAACTCCAGAAGTCTTTAAGAATGGTGGTCCAGTTTTATCGATTAGGTTGACTAATATTTTAGCTAAAATCTGGGAACTGGATGTAATTCCATTTGACTGGTCGCAATCGCTCATCGTCCCAATATATAAGAAAGGATCAAAATCATCTTGTGATAACCATAGGACTAGTTTTACTAATATAGTGTCTAAAATACTAACCTCAATAATTACCAGGTGCCTAACAAAGACTCGTGAACTACAAACACGAGAAAATCAAGCTGGTTTCACACATGGTCGTAGCTGAATCGATCACATATTCATCATTCGTCAGATTTTAGAACACAGGCATGTTTATCGGCGTCCGATAATAGTGGTCTTTCTCGAGTTAAAAGCAGCATTTGATTCTGTTGACAGAAAAGTTCTCTGGTAGTGTCTGTCATTGAAAGGTGCACTTCAAAAGCACATAAACCTCGTGAGGGCTCTTTACTCGAACACTACTAGTCGAGTCAGAGCTTATGGAGAACTGTCATCTGATTTCACAACCTCAAGTGGTATCCAGAAAGGCTATCCTCTATCTCCATTTTCGTTTAACTTCATCATAGACCTACTGATGGAAATAACCCTCTCGTCGTCTGAATCATCGGGCATTAATCTCCTTCCAAGAGATTCACTTACCGACTTAGAATACGCAGATGACATAGTCCTGTTTAGTGAAGACGCTGACAAAATGCAGTCTTTTGGTAGCACTAAGCAACAATGCCAGAATTTTTTAAATGCGCTTCTCTCCCTCTAAATGCAAGTTGTTCCTTCAGGACTGGTTTGCGTCAACCCCTGAAATAAGGGTAGGGAATGAAGCAGACGAACACATTGACAACTTTACTTACCTTGGAAGTCTGATCAGCACTAATGGGTTGGTGTCTGTCGAAATCTCTGCACGGATTCAGAAAGCTCGTTTGACATTTGCCAACCTACGTCACCTATGGCGAAGGCGAGATAACCGTCTATCAATTAAGGGACGAGTATACTGCGCGGTAGTTCGTTCCGTTATACATTAAGGCCGCGGAACGTGGCCACTAATAGTAGAAGATATTCGTAAGCTACTAGCATTTGGCCACAGATGCCTTAGAAATATTGCTCGCATCTGCTGGGATCTCCGGGTAAGTAATAGTGAAGTTAGGCGTAGAGTATTAGGGAATGATGATAAATCAGTTGATGAGGTTGTGAATCTTCATCGACTAAGATGATTGGGCCACGTGTTACGTATGCCCGAACACCGATTACCACGACGTACAATGCTGACTAGTGTTAGAGACGGTTGGAAGAAGGTAAGGTCGACCAAACCAAATCATGGCATCAGTCCTTGAAGTCACTAACTTCGGGTCTGAGTCATGTTGGTGGATGCAGACTACTCGGTTGGGGTCCGTGTGACTATCGTAACCAGTGGTTGGAAACTGGATGACATGGCTCAGAATCGGTCACAATGGCGTAGGTGTATACACTCATTGTCTTCCCTTTAGACCGTGAGATTATAACTTTCTTTCTACGAACTAATTCTTTCTTCCTGTATCATAGCCTTATATGCCATCTTTCTTTTATATATTAATACCATCGAAGTAACGGCTTCTATGAATTTGGTGTTCATCTTGTGTTAATGTGGTATGGCAACTTAAAGCGATGAGTATATTTGTCTGATCCTACGTTGTAGCCGACTGACTGGATTTTCGGACTTCTGTTTGAAGGTAAATAAAGGATTTTAAGCTTTACGGTAATGTGGTTTTAAATAAATGTGTTGTCTCTTCAAGTTCATAAACGCAACCAGGGACATCATAATTTACATAACTTGTACTTCTCTTTTGATTTTTCATCGATGTGTCATTGTGAATTGTGAACACCGAGTGAGTTATAAAACTGTAGTAAATTATATAATATTCGTGTTCATCCACTATTTCCATCGTAGGAATTATTTGATTGAACTACATGACGTAATAGTCAATGAAACCTTTAAATTAAAATTAAGAATATTTTTTTCACTTTAAGTCAAAACAAAATACTATACAAATTCAAACAACTCACCGCTATTACATCAGCCAAATGAACGTGAATAATGCAATTAATATCTTTACGAGCTGAGTGTAGTGCAGAATGAAGAGTCCAACCAGCCTTATTTACACCTAACACTGAGCTACCTTGATCAACTATATTACCTAGAATAAATAAAAAAACACGAGACATAGTTTGATCCAAATAAATATCTTTGAAGTAAAATCATATATATTATAACTATGGAATGATAGTCAAAGAGCAAAAACACACCAAGGCGGAAGTTAAAGTTCACAACAACGAAAGTTCGAGCGATGAAAAACAAAACTACATAGATAAGGAGTTAGTGGAAAAACACATGGGATAGTCTTTGATGAAAAACTAGCAAAAAGTAATTCGTTCTAAACAAATATACACAAAGTAAAATAACCTTATCATAAGCACTTTGAGGAGTTAATATTAGTAAAGCATATTTAAAAATGAGGATAAAAGCTATTCTAGTAGAAAAATAATACTTCAAAATCCATCTTGTTAAAATATTTATCCAAACTCAATAAACAGAGACAGATGAAGCTGCAGTAATATATTAAGGTGTTTCGTATGCATATATATGCGTCACAGCATTAGAAATGACGGATTATGGGATTAACATTAGTGCATAAATGAGCTAAAACTATGAGTTCCCAAGTAGGTCGTTTACGAATGCATCAAAATACTCGAATTAATTTCAAACTAAGAATATCAAGAACTTCAAGCGCTAAAAGATTATCAAAATTAAAATAAAAGTCCAATTTCCTTTTACAACGGGACTGTAAGTAATGCAACCCTGGCCAACTGATGAAACAGTTGTCTATGGAAACACAAATAGTAAGTCTTTTTCCACAAATATTTGTGAATTCATTTTTATCAGTATAGGGTTGTGGAGATTATTAAGTTTTTGATTGAGGTCATGAACCGATTGACGTTAGACCACCATTGAAACCCTGGAATCCCTGAACAGCCGTTTCGTCCTATTGTGAGACTCCATTTCAGGTACAGACAGGTATCTACCTCAGTACAGTGGGAGATGGTCGCGCAATTTCGTGGATTGGTTGAGATTAGACAACGACACCGTTGGATGCCGACTCAGTAGTCTAGAGGTTAAATGTTCGCGCGAGAGACTGAAGACCCTGGGTCCGAATCCCAAAAGCGGGATCGTGGATGCGCACTGCTGAGTAGTCCCACAACAGGACGAAACGACCGTCCAGTGCTTTCAGGTTTCCAATGGTAGTCTAACATCAATCAGTTCATGATCTCAATCAAAAAATTCATTTTTACTCATAGTTGCAAAATAGAATAGTTGAGTAAAAATCTATGTAGCATTATTATGGTTGAAAATACAAAAAATAATGCTAAGTAACTCGAAACTATGAAATCAAAAAGCACAGAATTCGCCCAAAGTAGATAGGATAATCGGTAAATTATTATACTCAAAGCAAAAAAGAAAAGACAACAGTCGGGTTTACAGTAATTAAGTCAGACTAGTGAAACCAAGACTACCCTAATACACATGACCATATTATCCACAAAAATCAGTCAGTGATTTATATTCATTCCCCATAATATTTTAGAAACAGTACAAAATGAACATTATACACTTTTACGACGAATAGGATGTGTCTGAAAAATACATTTTATCTAATAGCTTATTTACATTATAGAATCTATTACAAAACTTTCACATTTGCACGGAAGCGAGCCGTCAACACATCTTAAATATAATATAAAGTTAAAAAACTAATCGGTCTAAAATTTAACGTGATCATTACAGATCAAGAGCAACGATTACGGACCTAAAGAAATGGAATTTAACAACGATCGCTGCGCAACAACGTACGTAGTAAAAAAAGACTGGTCAAGACAAGAGAATCTTTTACTAATTTTTAAGAGAAAAACAAGAATGATCGTAAATCACGTTTTTCCTTAAGATAATTTAACCATGAGAAAGTAAACATATCAATCATTTTTCTTTCTTCACCCCAAATACTTTCTGCATGTGCCTATTCAACCAGTTTGTTCCACGTATCCTTATCTGGAGACTTTGATGCATCGGCATTTGTCTCTACTGTTATTGCTGTTGAAACAGGTACCGCAGCACGAGCAACACAAATCAATTGGATCCTCACTATCAGTTATTTATGTACCGTCAGATTAGAGGGGTCTATCAGACTGATAAAAAACTGGCACCACAAACCATAGTTTTGTAGTCGCTTACAGCCGATGAAAGGTAGCCTGGATGCAATAAAAGATGAATTTCATCACCAACTAAATGACCTCAGTAAAGCCCATGTATGTCGAGTCGGCAACTTAGTGTAAACGAATGAGCGGTTGCATTCAAAAAGGAATTTAGACAAAATCGACCTAGTGTTACACAGAAATCCGTGGGTACTGAAAAATATCTCAATATGTTCAAGGTGAATCGTTTACTTCGCAAGTTCAAACAATAAAAATGGTTGCATTAAGCCACCTTAGAGCCTTGTCTGAACATAAGAAGCTATTCGTCTGTCACCAGATATACAATAGTGAAATTTACATTGAAGTACTCACCGTTTGCATCTATTTTTACTAAACTAGAGGCTTGAATTTCATGATAGAGTAACCCAAAAGGGTTAATTAAGAAATGATTGGGATTTGTAGTGCACCTTGCCTAGAAACAAAATAAAACCAGTATTAATAAGCTTTAATAAACAACTAGCATTCAGGATACATTGTACTTGGAAGGAATATCTAAATAACTTAGTTATGTCCCTTACATTATCACCATTGACAATTTCATAAAGGGAAATAACCCACTAACCCTATTTCACCCTCGAGAAAAAATAGCTGTAAAGGACTGGCACCTATCGGTCCATCACATCCTGATTGGAGTAAAAGAGATGGTGCAATTCAATGGCTTCAGATGTGACTAGATATGGTTCATGATAGAAGCCAATGGAGAGCTTGTCGTTTCCTTTTATACTCTTAATAAGAATTAAATCTTTTCAATTGAAAAAAGTATTTCTCTATTTTATTGTCAACCAAAATGCATCTATGTTATACGATCCTTAGCCACTTCTCGTTATCTGCAAGTATACATCTCTTTCTCTATTGTTTCTTCTCCATAATATTATATCTATATTTTATGTAGCCCATTCTATTTTTGGTGCCCAGTAATACGAAGTATAATAAAATAGATTACTGTTTAATTAATGTTGTCACAGTCACATGAGCACGTCATAGTAAAAGCAGATAATGGATAAACGGATTACAAATCACTTTAAATTGTGGCACTTATGAAACAAATGACTTACAATCACAATTACGACTGACCGAATACCGTGACAGATGATAGTGGTTCGCTTAGGTTTGAAGACTATGCAAATAGACACAAACACTAAAATCCAAACTGCTTATCAACTTACATCAAAAAGCTACAAATCATAATACTAACGTTTCATATTCTATCTACTATAAATTGTACTAACTATACACTTAATGCTGCTTTCGTCACATACCAGTTTGTTTAGAAAATAGCCTTCGGTACCATTTAGAAGATAAAATATTGTATTGGTTACTTACAGATATATGGTTATAAATTGAATGCGTCCATCCTCTCATATCAATCAAACGATATAGAGCAGCCAAACTACGTCTCAACACACAATCCTCCCGCGGATAAGCAGCAGCTTCTTCACCACGAAGATCATTTATTGGTATTGTTGGGAGGCCACCTAATATGCACAGTTAATAATTAAAAATAAAATTGGCAAAAAAACTATTTTATAAATACTACTAAGTGATGAAACAAATCACAAACAGTGTATGTGAGCCCAAAAAATACAACAGAACAGAACAACAACGAAATAGTCACTTACGCTGATAACCAGTACCAACTGATTTGAGTACCTCTGGAAGACAGGTATATATTGAATAAAAAGATAAATAGACATTAAGCTCCACCTTATCAAAATTTCATTTTTGTTTCTTACAAATAAGATTAGGAATCTAAAAATATATTTACTTTTTATTTAAATCTCGTTCCACTCAATAAAATGTGAAAATATTAATCAAGCATAATAATCGGGTTTGAATGGCCGGACAGGACCTCAGGCCACGGACATTGTAATGAATAATAATGAAAACGTAGACAGTTACCCTACACCAATCAGACGGTAGGCAGAGATTGAATTGTTGTATCTACGCACAGAACTATGTAAACCACAGTTATGGTCACAGAGACAATACCCCACTATAATTCCGCAACTATTTATTTTATTTTATTATTTATTTCAACACATAGATAATGGTACAAAGAGGCACCAAATATATATGCGCCACACAAATCTCATTCGATATGTGTGAGGGCTGTGATACTGCCCGGGTGCCCAAACCGAAGCAACTATGGGCAAATATAGTTTGATATTGAATAAGGTTAGACTCACTATATCCCAAGGTTTTAAAAAAGGAATAAACTTTTGATGGTTTACATCTTGAGTTGCTATAACAGAGAAAATGGAGATACTGATCTATAGTGGTTTATTCATTAAAAACTTATGTTCATTTATAACCTGACACGATTCATACTATCACAGCCCGTTAGTATAAAAGCAGTTCTAGATTTCAACGAATTAAAAGCTTGTTAGGAAAATTAACAAGACTTGAGACTTCCAAACTGCAAGAAAATGAGTAGACATGAACCCTAATTTAATCAACACTTAGAATACCTTGTTTAAGCACATGACTTTCACACAGCTAGATATGAGTAGTGTACTTACCTGATCAGATTAATTACCTAGATCATCAAACACACCTGCAGCGAAAATTATTCAGATGGTTCGTGTCGACAGAACTCGTACGAATTTGCCCTTTAGGTATAAATAACGAATAGCAATGTTACATTTTAATCGCTTTTAACCACTTAACAAAATAAAAACCCGAACGGCACTCACACTTTACTTTCTGAACAAACGAATCAAAATATCGCATACTAGGTATCGATAAATCTGTTGTTTTAAGAACACTCACGCTTACTATTTACAATACGCAGGTGAGATGACCAGTTAAACAAACAGGTGATTATAGTCGATGATGTACTTTGGAAGTATATACTTCAACATTACTCCCATTGAAATACTACATAAACTCGCATAACACGTGATTTTGAAACCGAAATACTAATTGTGGTGTCACAACTAAGCAATGTTAACGTTTGAAGCTTCGCATTGCCCACTGAGCTAAGGTAATAACAGAACATTTTTGCTTTAGACAATGACTGGATTTTGTTAACATATAACTGATTAATTATAAGTGCTTTGGAAGAAAGTTGCATAACCAAGAGGTTTGTTCCTTAAACCACATGCCTGATTTGCAACTGGATTTTTATGAACTACCTACTCTGACTAGCGATCTGCAGTACTTCCTGGTTAAGTATCGTGCGTTGAGTGGATACTCCTAAAAGGAGCCGAAGTTATATCTGGTCATCCTGTACCAAATGAAACGACTGGTTTGGATGTCCAAAGTACAAGTAATTGAATATTTAATTACTGAAACACAAGTTAGTATAAATCACTCGATGTTTCGAAGTGTTGGAGTTCCCTGTAGAATAAACGGGTTAGAACGATTCTTTGTATAGTTTTCATTTCGAACGTTTGTTATAGACGTGATTAATGTACTACATTTTTGACATTACGAATCAACATCACTGAGGTTAGACAGCGACTCTAAGATGACTGAATCAAAAAGACAATCACCCAACTGGTATTTTAAGATTACGAATATATAACACTAACTTTGACGATTATATTAACCGTGTTAAAAGTCTACTACCAAATGCACAAATGAAAAGTAAAATATACGCATTGTATCATAACCGAAATTACTAACTATATACATCAAAAACAGAATTTAAACTGAATATAACAGCTCTTACCTTTCAAGTCAGCCACATTTTCTAGTCTCATAGTTTGCCCAAGAAGACTTGATAACTGCTGAAGAGCACCGCCTTGCTTATGGTTACCAGATATCCTGTTAAACGAGCTCATATTCTTTCCTATACTGTTATGATTTGACAAGCGCTTCTTTAGATTAAGACTAACTTCTTCGTCACTCAAGCCTAGTATTTTCGAGTATAGAAACTATAAACTACCAGATAGACAATTATCACTGAAATCTGTCATTATACTCCACTACCAGATAACCATTAAAATGGTCGGAGCTATGTACTCGGACTAAATCCCTAGACTCGTTTTCGTCAAACCTCCGACGCGCAAACTAGAGAAACGATAAGACTGGAAAGGCGCGCTTACTAAATCCAACAGTTATGATTTAAAACAAGCGAAAAGTACTAGTGACAGCAATCAGGGTTGTGATAAAGTACAGCTTGAAAACATAAAATTTCTGAGACGTTAATTCAATTAGTTCTTACAACTGTTTGAGCAGTAAATTATCCTCGAGTTTTAGTAAAATCGTTTATCGAGCATAAACGTTTCAATATTAGAAGATTGGTCAGTGGATTTTAGGCCTTTAGACGAGTGTCTCCGAGAACTGAAGACGCGTTAAGATCGACAAAAGTTATTCACACGTTTTTTTCCTACTGTGTGTCCTCATTCCTTTCGTTCCATGATAAACCATTTATGTAGTAAGGTTTCATTTGTCCTGTATGAATGCCAAAATACCAACAACTTTAGCAATCATGATAAATGAATTTAGACTAGGTATTAAACGAGTGATGTGACTTTAACTGAAGCTGTGTGATTACTACATTTCCATTCATCTCGAATGGACCTACCATTATGCTGAAGATATCACAGGTATTCGGAGTTTGACAACGCTTTAACTAGTAGCACCTAATATGAAGCGTACCCACCAAGTGAAATCAAAATACAGAAGCGAGGGGGTTTGAAGATATATTTGATGGGTTATCAATATACCGAGGATCGATTAATGTAGGATGGCTAGCGATTGCAGGGGTTGTCGAGCACGGTGTTCCCACTCGTGACCTGGTGCGAGTTCATGACTGAGCACCTTCGGCTAGGTGAGTTCATTGAAACTAATGTGGTCAGCATCCAATGCCGAACACTTAAAGAGCCATTTATTTTGAGGATTTATTTACCGCAACAACGCCAATTAGTTGTTCAGTTCATATGTTGTACAGTCAGTGCCACAAGGTATTCATTTATGTAGTGAATAAAAAGCTTATAGACCATAAGAAGTCGGAACTTTTATTCTGATCTAAAGTCGCCAACAAATGTTTTATATCTTAGCCGTTTTTACACAGTAAAACACGTTTGTAGAAAATCTTTTCTCTCACATGCAATTCATGTCAAACAAAGCGTAACATATTGGTCTTGACCTTAAAGTGACGTATCAAACATGGTTTTTGAGGCCATAGAAAGTTTCACAACCTGACCTTTACTATCAAATGTTTTTAAAAGTACAACCTACTGGTTGGCCAATTTGAGTTTTAACAGAACTATTGAAGTAACAGCTGTTTTTTTTTATCTATGTTGCACCGATTTATTGCTTCTGTTATAATGACGTTAACCTGATGCTTTTTATATGTATATAGTTGTCATATGAAGTAATTCAGACAATGTTTTCTTATATTTACAGACAAACAAAAAGTGGATATATTCCTCAACTAATTCAAATTTTTATAGTCAGTGAAATGCTTGATTCTTCGTGTAAAATATTTATTTATAAAAGTTGTTTTTTTCATTATTTATCAAATATTATCTGAGCTTCTTAAAGATCTTTCAATCTGGTCTCTACAGAGTGTTTCAACCACTTCATCAGAAAAAGAGTTTAGCATCGATATCGAAATTTGTGTTGTGCTTAGGATTATTGATCATGTTTGATTGCGTACCGACGAATTCTTCGCCAAATCTTATATGTCCAAACTTAAATCTTAACCTTGATCTCTAGTGGCTAATAATCTGAAACCAATTTTAAAAATCTAACTTATTACGTAGAAATTGTATGTTCTTCATAGACGTTCTTTTTATTTTCTTGATCATTCACTTACCCTAATTGTCAGCAGAGGGTCGAAATTTCGCCTAAGTTGTGGAATATTATCTAGCTTTACCGATAATCACCATAACTGTCGCGTGAAGTTTTTGATCTACTTACTGGCAATACGAAACTTCTAGATCCGACCACTAGCAAACTTAAACAAATTTAGTCTCGTTGAAAAAGTTTCGCTTCGTATTTAAAATGTAACTGTAGTTCGTATTACCTTTTGGACTGTTTAATGCATCATAGTTTGGAACCTAAACCGCCTAAGGCTGGAAAATGTACTTTCTCACCAATGCACCAAGTGGGTGATCTGAGAGACTATACTGGAAAAAAAACTTATACAAATTTACCCTCTTTTTGTTCGTTCAACATAAATTCCCAATGGATCGATACCAATGCAAAACATCAAAAAAAGAATATTCGCAGTTATCAAATTGATGGATTTTTGTATACAAAAACAGTGAGCTTGAAGACTAGATTGGCAAATGAGAATCGTAAGGAGTCAACAACTAAAGAAAGCCAAGAAGTACTCTAAATATTACAACTTTCCGATTAGTAGAGACATTTTCGTCGGCAAAAATGGTAGTTTTGTAACTTCAATCTTTTTAGATGTTCAGAAGCCAAAGAACCCATCGATTAACTTAGTACTTCGGCCTCTAGAGTTTAGCTACTTTATGAGATGAAAGTTGGCATGGATGGACCATATAGCAAAACTTAAAGTAAAATTATTATTTCACTGACTACTCACCAAAAACTGCGAAATGGATAGAATGACTTATAGATGAATCTTTTTCAGTCCGCCGTAATATGGGTTTGACTCAAATAGATAATATAATATGAATGAGCTGATCATCTGAAACAGTTGGTTGTTGTTACATAAACATAATTTCCCAGTGCACACTTGTCACGCAAACAGGTCCTCCGATCTACCTCTTTTGACAGCTGAGGCCCTGTAAAATAAATGTCGCTATAATCTCATTCTTACTTTAAGATGCATATTTCTGGCACAGCAAGTAAGCGCCGCTTTTACAGGCATGATCAATAATTCACAACACTGGTTTATAGATAAGGTGGTTCACAAGTAGAATCGTTAAATAGTTCGAATCAATGAAAATAAAAGGCAGTGTATTGGTGCAGATATACCACGTTAGGTTAGCAGTCAGTACGTACTATGAGTACAATGTCTATCGACTGTCTCGAAAATGGAATCGCGACCAAGCTGGGACATTAGGAAAAGTACAGCAGGCCCAAACTCGGGACTCATGTGTTAAAATAGTGATGCTGCTAAGTATTTATGCGACATATTGGTTTAAGAAGTTTATAGTCGTTTGAAGACAATATTAAAGGCACTTGGTATGAGTTGTGACCTTAAAAGCGAGTGTGTTAATTTTGTTTCAGGCGTAAAAGCTCCTTAACTGTGCACTGAGAGTGTGACATCGAAAAAAAAGAAACAAAGGAGCATCAAGGAGTTTGAATATAAAACCTTAATAATGCTTGATGGTTTGTTGTGTAACAGACAAAGTTATGGTTAGTAGAAAAAATTATACTAGATCCTGTTACTAAGATGAAATTTTATTAAACGTTGTCTAGGTAAGAGAGTATAGCGATAAATAATAATAAGTAGTGATGTGTAAAAAGGTGGAATATGTTCGAATGATGGAGGGAAAATCAGTTAGAATCAGGAAGGCCTATAATTAAGACCGAAAGTGCATCTCAAGAGACCAAAGTGTTTGGAAACACTACTAACCATATCATTTCCTGTCTGGTATATTTTATAATCATTTTTTCATCAAGTGGCAAACACTGGGTCGTAATGTGAAAGTCTGAGTTGGCATGTTATAGGTTATCTTGATAGAGTAGATAATTAATTTAGGCCGAGGCTTTCAGTTTTCTTTTTCTAGGATTCTTACAGAGTAGAATGAATTATTTTTTCTTAGAAGTACAAACGATAACTCAATTGTAAACTATTTACACATAAACCGCAAATTTCAAGCTATATGACAAGAACTCAATTTGACTCATTCATGGTACATATGATCATATTCATACAATACGTCATATACAATAATGCATATTCATTTTTACTAGACGGTCAAACCATTCTCTGTCATTTTTAAAACCATATATAATCATATTTGACGAAGAATTGCACTTCATATTTGCATTCTATTCCTAATATCGCGTTTGAACGCTAAAACTCACGTAATTTAGGTATTTACAGGATTTATTCAAACCTCTACTCAATATCAAGAAATATATATATTCATGTATGTTAAAAAAATGTACTTACGATTTTATATACTATCCTTTAACTTGTATTTGGATGCTATGACTCATTTAATTTCCAAAATTACCTGTCCGATTCGGTCAGTGTTCCATAGTTTTTGGTCTGTATTTTTATCCAAAAATCTGTTTCATATATTTGGTCATAAAGCACCATAATAATCTTAGATAGTAACAGTATTTTAAACTACTTATATCTGCACTTCCCAATGTTTACTAGTGCAGGCTTTCAGTTTATATATGTACCACATATTGTACCAACTTTAGTAGTTTGATACTATTTATCGACAGTTCTAAATTACTATAAAAGGCTATCTTTCCGTGTAATATATGTGCTAAAATTTACACAGCGTGCTCCTTTATGTTCTATTGTGCCTCCACACATGTACTGATATACATACTACATCTCTCCTGCCATCCTCTCCTCTTGTTTTTGACAGCATTAATCCTCAAGATACATTCACATTTTTTTAAACACAGGTTTTGATTTTCAGACTAACTTGAGCCCTCGGCATTGAACTTTTCACTAATTTCTATTTCCAAAATTTTGTTTAATCCATCAGCTATTTGTAACTTTCTTATCATCCTTAAAGGAAACTGAAGGCCTCTGCTTCTGGTCGTCCGGTCAAACGCAGGAAAACGACACAATATAACACTACTACTGACATGATTTCCAACAGTTTCAACAAGACGAGCCACTCCGTTCATCCGGTAGCAGACGAGATGATATCAGTTATCTCCATCCCAGACATTTCGAGGACTCTATTGATAAACAATTATGATAATAACAACTGTAACCATGTGGATGATATAATAAGCTGCAAGTTGACATGAACATTCTCATCAACCCCAACCTCAATGAAACTCCAGATCAAATGAA